GAGTCTTCAGCAAACACTAAAGCGTATGGTGCATTTTTGGTATCAGGTGCTCTATTTGTTAAAAAAAAGTCAGTTTAAAGTCAGAATCCCACCAACAAGAAGAATAGTGAAATAGGCAAGGAGTTAATGCGGCATGTAATTTTATTATGTATGCAATTTTAGAAAATACGTAAGCATTAGTACGTGCTTAACTTAAATCTCCGCGTAAGATTTAAAACGTCAATTTTTCTTCTTACATCCTACATACATTATTTACCTACACACCTCGCCATGGCGTAGAGTAGGTACGTTGATAGAAGCACTTGAGCATGACGGTTATGATGAATCAATGACATAATGTCAAAAAGAAATAATTTGAAAGAGTGAATTATGGTGCAAAAATGTTTAAGTCTGTTACAATATGATGTCACTGGGTCATGAACGGTGATAACATCAATCGAAAGCAAAATCAAGTGTTGAACGGTCCTTCAAGCCAGCCGAGCTCGGTTTCAATGCTAGCCTTGCGGGTACGTGCGTCATGGGTAACACAAGAAAAAAAGAAACAGAAAGTTTAATCAGCGACTGACAGGTGATCCTTTCGATACTCCTTACAGAAGTTATTAGACACCATAAAAATGCCGAATGTCCTGATTAGTTAACAAAGCAAAGGTATATTTTAAAATTGCACAATTTTACCGAGCAGAGACGAGCCTCAGAAGAACGCAGGACCGGCTACCACATGTGAAACCCATACGTAGGGTCGATTTCTTAATAAATATCGCCTAAAAAAGAAGTTCACAAGTTTAATATGCGTCTTGCTGAACGTAACGCCTAGTCCCGTCTGACGTTAAAAAGACTTGTCTTTCGAACGACAAGAAAACCTTGAACTATTATGAACTATGAATGGAGACGTGTAACGCCTCTCTACGTGCAGCACAAGGTTATATCGCAGAATTGCCACAATTGATTTTAATTGTTGAGCTTCCCATGACCGTTAGCCGGATCGGTGAACGTCCGGAAAAATCTTACTTGTCTTAGCGTGAGATCGCGCACTAGAGAGTTTTATCCAAATATCAAGCTTTCTACACCTTTATGATCCTTTTATAATGCTGCAATAATTATTTAAACTTCTAACAAAACAAAAACAGATCGAGGTTGTCTGTAATATGTATTAGTTTCATAAAAAGTGTCTGATGGAAACACGGTGCGATTTAGACAAGCATCTCTACCTGATGGTAACTATTGAAAGATCGGCGGACGCGAACGAAGCGTTGTATTGGCGTATTGTTGTTACATTAGATAGAAACAGAATCAGTACTGCAATTTGTTTTATTGCCTTGCACCGGCTTAGAATGGCCAGTAACCTGGACTTGCCCGATTCTGTCATTCCGTAGTGAAAGAAAAAACGAAAGGCCGCTGATTGGACATTTGCGCTAGGATGCACTGTTGGGCTGTCCAGGAAGACGTGCGAGGTCTCTTCTAGCCGTCGTCATGGGGACATGACTATAACGGTAAAATTTCCCTGCGGGATGATCGCGGCCTGGAGCCACCACCCAGCAAAAGCTCGATCTTGGACTGTTACTGCACGGCAAGTAAATATCTCTCCCCCTGTGGCGTTCTTCTAATAGATGACATTCGCACACAGACGTGCACACACGCGGCCACAAGATATCTGCTCGGATATGACAGAGAACCCAGAAACCGCTGCGCGTCAGCAGAAAACTCACGTCGCAATTCTACATGTAGCAATCGTATCAGGGGAAGAACTGCTATAGCGGGAGCAACCTAAGCAGCAGTTCACGAGGCCTGCATGTGTATCTGTGTGTTTGTTTATGACACAAACACACACACAGACCTACACATGTTTATCGTATGGTTTATGACAACGACATAGAGGCGTTGCCACTGGTTACAGCCGAGCAGCGTTCGTCACCGTTGCTTTTGTAGTGGTGAGATCTTTTTTCTTGTTTTTCGCTATATATGGATCCGCATTGTATGGACCAACTGTTTCTGTAGCGTCTCTTTCGCACACAAACACACACACGCGCACGCACACACATACATACATATATATATATGCTTTTGCAGAATTCCTGTTGTGTGGTTCTTAATTGCTAATGTACTTGCCACTCTGTCGTGGTGGGGAATCCTGTTGCCGCTGCTGCTGGTCCTCTGCCACTACTGCAGCCGCTGCGGCTACAACAGAGGCGTTCCTTTCGCCTTGTATCCGTCTTCATCTCCAGCGTCTCCTTACGGCGTCGTCCCGTCATCGTCTTCTTTTTCCTTTCCTTCTTCTATTTCGCCTCCGGATAGAAATAACTGAGAACAGCTGATGGGGTCAAAGTTGGCAGGTGCCGTCGCAACTTCAGCAGCTTCTGCAGCAGCGGCGGCCGACGCAGAAGGAGCATAGACGGCAACAGAAGTGGCCGGTGCGTACTCGTTTACAGTCGCTATTCGTCGTCGTATCAGGCGATACCTCTCGTTTCATCGCCGTTGTGATCGTCCCCGTTGTTGTTGTTGTTGTTGCTGCTGCTGCTGCCGCCGATTTACCGTTGCGTTTCATTGCGCTCCCGCTGTCGTCTGGCTGCTTCTGATGGGTTTGGCAGTGGTGCGCACATATGGTCCACGGTCGTGCCCCCATCTCGAGGATACTACTGACACCTACCAGCGGCAGCAGCTATGTTACGAATACATGAGGCAGAAGCGGCGAACGTCTGATCAGCATTGAGAGCAGCCGGTAACAGAACGGCGAGCATATGAACACGGTAGCGTTGAAACTGAAGTGGACGCCGCGACACATTTAATGCATCCGAGTTGAAATTACTATTATTAAATTGTGCATAAGTGAAATCAGGGGATATGCGCAAGCAGGGATCATCTTCTCTTTTCTAGCAGCAGCGGGACTGGAAGTGGAAGTAATGGTAGCAGCGGTCATCGTCAGCGAGTTTTATTTACTTATTACAAATTACATTCAACTACTAAAAGCCTCCCCGCCGCGATACGAGCTGCCATGGGGTGAATGACCGCTAATAGCGTTCAAAATATAAAACATATCCGTATACAAATACACGGGCACAGCGGTGACGGACAGATTCACTAAGGCCCACATACGCACACATGTATAAATGTCTACACTTAAATATATATGTGTGTGTCTTATTACATACGGATACATAGACACACACAAAAATAGGTGAAGTGTTGGGGGTGATTTAGCCTGATTTAATAAGCTGGACCGCCCAAAGCAAAAACGCGCGCACCGAACCAGAGGCTGTATCTCATACGGTCGTAGTAGGCGATGCGCAGCGAGCTTGTGAGATGGGATAGTAAGCAATATGCTGCGTTTATATCGAGCTAGATAGAAAAGAAACGAATAGCCACAAACGAACGAAGCTAGCTATGAGCAGGAATAAGAAATAACAAAGGCCACAATCAGCTTTTCGATGGTGTGAACGACTGCCGCAACGGACTGACACAGTAGCTAATGCGCGCGGGGTCGCCGCGTATCCAGATACAAGCTTGCACTCGTTGGCGGTCAACCATCATCGGCCCGGCAGATCATCGACCACAGATCGCTGACTGGCCAGCGGCAACAACGGCCGGAGAGGAAGCTAGATAATCTCAGCCGGTCGGTCAGTCAATGAACAAAATCCTAATTAGCGGTAGTGAAGGAAAGAAAAAAAACTGTTGTTTGTACAAACAGAGAACAAACGAATTGTGTGGCATGCTATCTACAGGTAGACTTCTACTTCAACCAATCTTATCAATGTATTCTAGTAGTTTCAACTATCTATTGCATAGCAATACACAAGATCACCCGACCTAAAGCACAGATTGATATACGGTAAAAACTTTTCTAGCAAGATTTCTCATCCTTCCATCTCGAGAAGATCCACTGCAAAAGAAGGATCCGAACTTGTTGTAAATAGGCTTACGCTACAAGGTCATCCCAACTTTTCCGTGTCTCCCAAAGCAGATGCACAAATACACTTTCATTAAGAGATCGACTTTAGAAAAGTGAGAAAGTAGCGTTATGGACGGGAATCCAATCGATAGAAGGTTCATGTACATAATACTAATCATGACACGTGCGTGTTTAACGTGCATACGTTAAATTGATCGTTCATCGTGCTGATCCTTTTGTTTGTCCCGTTGTAGGCAGCAGGACAAAGGGCAGTCGATAATAGCTGTAGAGTAGTAATTCTATAATGATAATATACAACGGCCTGTGTGGTGACTATTTTTTATCGTCCGTCTATTTTGTTTAACCAGTACGAATAGATTGTCTGCGACGATACTGATTAGATTGTTTGCTAATCCCAAGATCGGCAGTAGGCGAAACGGGACAATCGGTCATACCATACTGAAGTTGACCCTATTGCTTCTGTCCTAACGGTATACTATATACATATATGTGCACGAAGTTTACCCTATTCTCAACAGGATTGACTATCAATCATATCTAATTGTGTCGGACAAATACCATGACATCCGTATTTTGGTAGATAAAATACCTAGAACTGATAAGTGTAACTCGACTGAACAGTTTACAAAGAGATAACAAAATTGACCCATTCAAGCTCATCTACTTGAGAGAGAGCTGTATATGCATTAGAGCTGACGACGTTAGTGAAATACCCTATTGTCGATAGTTTTCAATAGGACAACTGTTAAAAGTTCAGCTCGAAGGGTCCGAGCTCAAGTTTGCTTTTAACGCAATTTAGGAACAGGAATCATTTTCACAGTAACGTCTTAATCTGCAAAATGTCGACCGTTCGATTACCTCGCACTATGTTAGGCTTCTCCTATTGAGTTCCTATGCTATTGGTATGCCAGCACATTTGGTTTGAAGCAACTAATGGGGTAGATATAGCTAAACCTCAAGAAAGCCTATACACTTTCCGCAATGTAAATCATTGTCATATTTCGTTTATGCAACTGCCCTTGTCGTTACCCCCACGCTACCCACTCTACGCAGCTATACCATTTGCTTCGACGACTTTTTCGACAATAATGTTTATGCATCTCTCTCTATATATGAATATAATATAATGATTATATTATATTTGGGGGGCAATCGTATAGGCGTCGTGTTTTCTTTTCCGTTTCGTGACGCTATCTGCAAAGCCAACTCCAGAATAAGTCGCCTGTGGTATGAGTGCCCTTGTACGTGACGGTGGGCAACACTTGCCATTGTGAGATCGATACCAAATCTTCGCGGAATTTAGCTTCTTCTTTTTTATATCTGATATGATATAACGCCTGATAAAAGTGATTGTTGGAGACATAGAGGGGTCCGAACGTTCGATCTAGTGAAAATGAAACAAATATAATGGTTACAACATAGCAGCATCGTACATGAACAAATATATCTTTATAATCATGGCAACCACTTTACGGGTAGTTATAACATGAGAGCTGTACATGTATAATTACTGTCTGACTATTTGTGCATTACTAGTGGAAATAGTCACTGTTAACTTTAGTGTTATTTTTGTATTGAGCTGCTAGACAGATGCGCATACGCATTCAAGTTTTACATATATATATATGTACATATATATATATATATAGATATATATATGCAAAGATATTTTGTTCAACTCTTTTGCTTCATAACTGCTATATGAAAGATGAAAATGTTAGTAAAAAAAAATATATACTTGGCTGAATATATGTCTAAATACCCGAAACACATGTGGGGTGTCTCTATTAAATGACAGGGTTTCAAGATTTGTTGCTAGTGAGGAATAACTACTCCTGGACTAAGTTATTAAGTAAAACGTACATTTGATCTATGTTCATCAAAAATCGCTAGGAGTATAAAGACGGCAGTCAAGTGTGCCTCTGCTGGAACACTCATCGTATACTTCTTCCATATTGGAATAAGATCTACTTCCGTCGGAATCGTGGCTCTGTAAATTAGAAACACATATCAATTATAAAATTGTGCCAATGCGAAGTATTAAAGCATTCAGTAGCAACTAGATCCGGGCACTGGGATTTGTGCAATAGATATACAATGGAAATTTTTCGAAAAAAGCCAATTTTTTTTTTAAATCATTAGAGGTTTATATAATTTCGAAAAAGTATAACATTTATGTGGAAATTCCTAGAAAAACAATGGTGTGCAAAATATTCGAGCAAGTTCATCTCCAATCAACAGAAAATGAAAATTACCATGAATGTCTTCACGAGATACAAATCTGGCAGCGAGCCCGAAGTGGGTCTTTTGACCCGTACCGTAACCCTTGCGGTAAGAAACAGAGGGTTCATTCTAACGGGGTACATGCTTATAGAATTTGAAGACATAACCCTTGAATCCTTATGTACTTTCTTCGTTTGTTTTGACCAAAACAGCTTGCGCTAAGCAAAGTGAGCTCGCAGGTGATAATACTGACGCACAGTCCTCTATGTGTTACTTATTCCGCTTCTGTCGATATAGTATCCTGCGGCAATTAATTAGGTAAAGTTAACATTAATTGAAGGCTGCGGTCTTCGGACGAACAGTTATCTGAAAACATACGTCCTCAACACTCCTTGTGTGCCATGCTACGACTGGCACGCCTAACTGATGCAATATACTAGATACTTGAGTGGTTTGCAACGAATCAAGATGCGGGTTAATGTTTTAATAGACCCGCATGTCGGGTCAAGCAAACTCGGGCTTGCAAAATATTCGTCTTTTCCCTGTTTATACTCCCTACTACTAAAGAGCTATCTACAGTTCGTTTTTCTTGTTGTAATTACAACACATTTCTCAGAGCTATAAAGGACGTAATTTTATAGTCAGGCTGCTTATTATACAGAGCATGCAGCTGTATTATTTGTAGAAATAAATATGAGCACTATTGTTCTATGTAATATAAAAAACAGATTCGTCATGTACCTGTATCTACGGAACTTCTTTATTTCTCCATTCGTTTTTGACTCGTCCTTTAACAGGTTTTCGGCGCATCGAAGCTTTCAAAGTTCCGTCCGAGTGTTAAAAGCGCTGCTTAAGCCTTGCACGCTTTTATTGTTTGCAATCGCAGTAAAGATCTAATTTTCCTCCTATAGACTATAGGTATATTTATCGGGCCCCGTGTTCAGTCAACAACCGAGCGTTCTATCCTTAATGCACGGATCTCATTTAAATGAAATAAATCATGAAGTTATAAGTTGAGACAAACACGTACTCTATCTGACTGCTATTTTGAATTAGTGTGCATAGTTGAAGCGTTAATATTATACCCCATTTTGCTCGTTAGATGTAAGATGGGTCTAGTGTTGTTTGCTTTCTTAGCGCTCCTGATCTGTCAATCAAACAATTAATTACTGTTCCAGAACTTTTTAAGCAATAACAGACTAGTTAACTAGACTAATTAGAATACGTGTTTGAGCGTTATTATGTAGATGAAAATGTCGTATTATTTTTCTTTTCAATACAGCTAAAAATGCGACAGAAACCAGAAGTTTCCTAATAGTATGAAGAAACGCAAAGCGCCCTACTAGGGATTATAATCCAGGCTGCTGAAGTTTGTATACAGATAAGTCGACTATAGATATTTTTGGCCATATTTATGAATTTTCTTGAGTGAAATGAAGACACTGGGGTAATGCAGAAGTTGAGTCCTAACTTCTACTAAGAGATGCAAAGAGGTTTGGGAACTTGATAGTGCAAAGGTCATTAGTTGTACAATTGCAGAAGCTTCCCGTAGGTGCTCCCTAGCTGAGTGATCCATTTGATTAGATGGACTGAAGTAACATACCAGCGATGGGTTGACGAACTTCGAATGAGCTTGAAAATGACTACCAATCGTTTTGATACTACCCCTACCTGCAAACGGAATATGTGGTCTCCAACTAACCTTCCGACGATGCAGATGAACGAATTAGTTAGGGAATTAACTTTATTGATGTTTTTACAGGCATATTATATCAATGTTTATCACGGTACTTCACTACCAAAGAGTATGACTGCCTGAATCTTTCCATATGTTGCAGAAAAAGAATCAGCATCAACTTCGGATGGCATTGAGAAACAAATCTGAAAGAATACCTGGAATCTAGACCACATAATCTATACAAGCCTTGAGCCTACTGCACCCACGCCTTATATACGTAACTTCGAGGTAGAAACTAAAAGCGCGTGTCTGACATTATTGCATCATATTTTTCGAAGATTTGCAATTCGTGTATTCATTAAACAACACGTAACAGTATTCACAGTATCTCCATTTAAAAGGTTCTTATAGTTGAGAAAAAGCATGTTTTTGGCATCTCACTTAAGTATACACAATGCGCTTTAGGCTGCTGATGCTTGCATTGATTGCGTACCATGTTAGTGTAGTCACCCTGTACAACGGCCGGAGGTTATGACAGCAACGTCTGAAGAGGCTGGCAAATAACACTATAGATCTTTCAAAAGTATCGTTGAAGCTTTCAAAGCTCATCATGGGGGTTTAAACTTTGATCGTGTTGCTTTGTCCATTGTTTCCGCTATTGTCTTTCCATGAACTCCTGCTCTAAAGATTTAACATTTTCGAGGAATGATCTGTTTGTCAAGTTTATATACTTTTTTATGATCACGCAATTTTTGCCAACTTGTGAGTTACGCAACACAACTCTGATCTGTCGCACGTCCTAAATTTCAGAATCGGCCACAGGTCCAGCGATAATGCTCGTTACAAGAACTTCAGGTGGCAGACGTTTTAATACATCACTCGACCTTAACGAGCTCTATATATATATATATATATATATATAAAGAAACGGAACTTCTTCGACGCTTTACCTGTAGTGATGGGCACATAAGGTAATATGCATAAATTTACCCATAAGGATCAATGATTCAGTTTTCATAATGTGTAACAAAGATCACTCTGTTTGTCAAGCCTGAGATTTTTATTTAGTGATTTGAATCTGATGTTAAGAACCATTTCAAGGTGCGCATCTTAATGGGAAATTACCCCACTATTACTGCGAAATTAACACACAACTTTTAGGGGTTAGTAATGCTGGAAACTTCTTGAAAGTTAAACAAAAATAGTTACTTATTAGAAATGAGGACATTTTTTAAGGTTGTCACATCCTATGTTAGCCACCTAAACACCAACTTTACATTGACCAGATCCGTATACGATTCCTACTCGTGTACGCTATTAGGAACGCTTAGGAATATCGTTGGTGAAATACACCCTTAAAACTAGTTCCTTACAATGTTTACATTACTCAAAAAATACACAATTTATGCAAATAAAGACTGTGATAATAGTGCGAGGTCGCCGGGAGCCAACTCTTGTCTTGATTAGCTTCCTGAGCATATGGAAATCTAGTGCTTTTAATTTTTAAGTATCGTAGAAAGCGATTTATCTTCGGACAGTCACAACCATTTCAGCGCGACCAGAACACCATGGCTGATTGAAACTTTTGTCATCATTTGATAACATGGGTAAAAACGTTTTACGCCATTAGAAAATCGCGAATCTTTTCGTCTTTTGATCAAAATTTCACAAAGACAATTAGAGATGTGGAATGAAGGGGTTCATTCATTCTTTCAAGACGTCTCATTGATGTTGATTGTGATATCTTCGTCAATGCAAGGGGTTCTTCAAATAAAAACGTTTTAGTTTTTACCAGCATCGCAAGCAGTATCGACGTGCTTCTGAGGCCGGAAAGCAGACACACAGGCCTAGATGTACGCGGTGATTTTCTTGCCTAATTGGAACTTGTAGAAGGATACGTTAGCTGCTTAGCATTCTAGCTATAAAAATTTATTACGTAAATCATATAGAGCTGGAAAAAACTTCCTATCCTGATGATAGCAACTTCACGACATCAGGTGTGATACCACTGCTACTGTTACCACTACTAGCAGATTCGTCTCTCAAGCAGCGCAATTAAATCAGCCCCAAGTAAGAGTGTTTTACCTCGTCGACGAGAGCGATCCTAATGTTATACGCCAAGCGAGTTAAGGTCGTGTGTCCGAACCTCAGCATCTGTTCGAGTATGGTCTTTTTCCAAAGAAAGTATTTCGACAGTACAGAGAGGTTGTGGGAAAGCCAGCGGGACATGAAGGTTACGTAGCTATGAGGCCAGAATGCGCGCATGTCAATTCTTTTATAAAGACTCTTCAGCCGGAGATGGTGAGGCACTTCAAACCCAAAGATCGAGTCCGTCGGTACTACTATTTGAAGATAGCTAAAAGTACCCGAGAGCTCTTTAAAAGGTCTCGTTTTGAGAGTGTGAATATATGTGTGAACTGCTTTGACGACCAGCTACGTCGCTTAGGGAACCTTACCGTTAGTAGCGTTTAGGGTTTAGACAATCAGTTTGAAAAACGTTTATTTTAAAAGTACTGGATATTAAAAGATCAAGCCGTAACAGATTACATCATTCAACCGTAAAAACTTAACATCTCATTGAAGATCTCCAGCGCTAATTTACTTTTAAAAATACGTGTATTTGTGCGCATCGTTGGCGCTATTGGCAAGAGAAAGCAATGGTACAAAACGCAAGCAATAGAGAAGGACCCTTGGACTTATGGCCAGCAGGCAGGCCAATCAATACTTAATTGTTCGAGACGAGGCTTTATGACACAATTCGTCTAGTGACCAAATGCCCCAAACTAATCGCAGGCAGAAGGTATTACCTGTCACGGTGTGAAAATAATACATTTCATAAAAATGTAATTGATCATTTATTTTCGTTCACTTATGCGCAGATGCTAAACACTAACAATACCGTGTTGCTCCGAAGGCAAAGGATGCTGTGAAAGATCGAGCTTAATTTCACTTCCTGCAAAAGCTTTATGATGTGTCAAATCGTGCGTTTGTCCCTCAGCTAAGCTGATAGGAAAGTCGCCCAAAAGCAAATTTTTCACCACTTTGTTTATTGGAACTGTTTCTGCACTCTCTTTGATCCCAGTGTAGTTAGAAGTTACCTAGCAATATCGACGGCTGCTAGCGTCAGCAGGTATACGTCGTCGCAAAAAATAACATATTTCTATTTGAAAAATCCTATACAATTGTGGGATTGTACGCGTTTTATGCAAAAAAAGTGCTACCGACTAAGAGCGTACAATTCGGTGACTCAGTTTCAAGCTGTGGTTTGTGTAGACGGTACTTCATAAATGACTGCTAGCCAAAACAGCGATCTCAAAGATTCATCTACAGCCAAGGACCAGACTGAAGTTTCGCTGGATAGTAAGGAGCCGGTGGTTAAATAAATGAAGTCAAATATTGACATACACTGAGGAAAGCGACAGTTTGCTAAAGTCACTAAAGAATATAACGCAACATTCATCATTGAAGCACATTATTGCGATTATGCCTCTCAACGTAACTGGCCATTATATCATTAGATATTTTAATGGATCGAATCAGGTCTACGTAAAATAGAGCTTCGGGCTACACGATTGTCCTGTCTTCCTGCCACTAGTAACAAAACAAACGTGTGAATATCCCAACGTGTCCATTGAGGAAATCGCGCAGCGCTTCAAAAAAACCCACAGTATTCGGTTACAAATATTCAATGGAAATGTTATAAACATTAGTAGTCAGGTCTCGGCAAACGACTATTTTCAATTTACTCATACAGTAAATGAGCAATAAGCCTGAATAAGCCACCAAGCAATGTGTTTTCCGGAAGTATTGCCAGATGGCGCCACCTGCAA